TAGAAAACATTCAATCAATAACTGTGAAATTACAACTAGAACACTAAGTTCAGCGCCGGCAAAACGCTCGCTACAGAAGCTTAAAAATCCTAGAAGAAGAAAGGTATAATTGTCTAATATGCTGAAACCGGGAATCCTCGGAGAATTTTATTTTACCTGGTAAAACCTGGAATTCACAGGGTTATATTGTAAAAAAAAGTACGACAAGGAATTTCAAATCATTTCATATCAAATACAACCAATTGTATCTTCCTCGTTATTCATTTTTACTAATTGAACATAATACTTCTGGAGTGGATTTACTTTCAGTAGCAACATACGTTCTGAAACTTGAATTGTTTAAGTTTTGGGTCCTGAGACATGGATAATTTCTATAAACTTTATACTAAGTTCATTGCTTAAAACCCAGGACCAGTGGTGTAAGCGGTCACCGTAAACGACGCATTTTCTGTGATAATCGACTGCCTATGCCTCCGGCAAAACAAGCTATCAACGCACAGTACCAAATTAAAATGTCATATGACAGTCAATGACATTGTCGTCAAAACCATCACGTATTGATGTATTTTAGTTTTTCTCATAATAAGAGCTGCTAATGCTGCACTTGTGTGAATTCTGAAAAAGCGAGCAGTGATATTCTAATAATACAATTTCTGATCATAAATGGTTTAATTTCCTCAAAATTAAAAGAAATGAACCAGCCTCTGGCTGAAAGTCTCGCTAATAAAGATGACCTAACCTCCTCAAAATTGAGGAATTAGATCGAAATAACACATTGTTATATATGATAGTTATTTGATAATATTCGTTTTGCTCAAATGTTGTTCTACCGTTTGTGTTGTGTGAGAAAGACGACGGTAGAGCATGAGTGTACGGCGTACACTGTACGCATACAAACAGACTGTCACGCACGACAGTGAAACGAGTGTAGTAAAAAACGTCAACTGTTTCAACTCCTGCCCAGGACCAACTAAAATCAGGCATTGAATATTTTCAACGTACAGTTTTTTTTTATTGTGGGACTCGCAATAGTTTCACAGCTTAAATTAATAAATGAATTTGAAGATAATTTCCAAGGGTCTTCCCTAGAAATTATTTCTATAACAATCTCTGAATTATGTATATTCCCACTCAGTAGGCTTTGAATGATCAGCCTCTAAAAGCATCAGGTGCCATGTCTGCCCTTTTCGACACAGAATTAGCGGACCACCGATCAAAATCGATGACCAGTCCATACCGCTGAAGAAGACCGTCCGAGTTCTGGGAGTTCTAGTTGACCGATTCCTCAACTTTGACCAGCATTTCAGTGCCGGACCATTTCCCGACAGAATAGATCGAACAACCGCAGCATCCGTTTTCACGTGGCGAGTGCAATTATCGACAGTCGCCTTCTATACGGGTTGGAGATGACCTGCATCGCAGCGGATAAGCTTTTAGCTACGTTAGCACCAGTCTACAACACCTACGTCCGGATTGTCTCTGGCCTGCTGCCATCCACGCCCGCTGCTGCATGCATCGACCCAGGCATCCTGCCTTCCCGCTTCCGTATAACCGCAGTTATCGCAACCAAAGCCGCTGCTTTCATCTCGAAGACATCCGGAAATCAAGAGATCTTCCTCCTCGACGTGGGAAACAGACTCCTCCGCACGGCTGCCGACGAAGAGCTCTACCCAGGGGCCAGGGTCCACTGGCATGGAGACAAATGGTGGCAAACACCATTACCGAAAATTGAAAGCCGGATTAAGGACAGGTTCAAAGCCGGAGACAATTCCGTGGCCATGAAAAGGACTATAGCTGAAATGTTAGGAGAAAATACCCCACGCACACTCACCGATACACGGACGGATCTCGCTCTCGGGCCGGGGTCGGTATCGGTCTAGCCGGAAACATCACACCAACCAGCTGCAGCTTACCGCCGCAATGGTCTGTCTTCTCTGCTGAAGCTGCTGCCATCTTCATCGCTGCTACAACGCTCTCCGACCGACCGATCCTAAAGCGCTAGATCGTGAGCAAAGTACGGGAAGCTTGGGACGCAGAGTGGGCCCAAAACCGCTCCCTCTTCATCAGATGGATCAAAGGAACGACGAGGAAATGGACAGAACAGTTGAACCAGCGGGATCAGAAGATAGCGTCGCGTTTGAGGACCGGTCACACCAAGATCTCGCACAATTTCGGTGGAACGCCGGTCCACAGGACTTGCGTCGGTTGTAGAACTCCAGCCTCAATCGAGCACATCCTATGCGTATGCCCCCAGTATCAGAACCTGCGGGAATTCCACGGGCTTCCAAATAGCATACGCGACATGCTGGCAGCATTAATGCGCTTTTTAAAGGATGCTGCATTGTATTTTAAAGTTTAGTCTTTTTTAATTCCTTTCGGCTGTTGGGACATCTCTGCCTGGTGGGGGCCCTCCCGGTTCCCCCGGTGTAGAGCTCTGTCTTATTCAGATTTTAATGTTGTGTCTTTAATATGTTGTCTAAATGTACGATCGAGCCAGGCACCAAATTTTTCGGTTGAAGTAAAACTGTAAAAAACTACTCTTTTGGGGGTCCTCCTTCTAAGGCCCCACCTTTCATGGACGAGATGAACTAGCATACGGCTAAAAATCTCAAAAATAAAGTTAAAAAAATGAATTATCTATAGCATTATGTATAGGAGTCAACTCCAGAAAATTCATGAAATTCTACATTGGCCGTTCATAATAATTCTCTTGATAATATTTGCTTTAATTTTTCTTCATAATTTGAATTCCCTTGGAATATTCCTTAGAAATCTCATTATAAATCACATGAGTAATACTATTTAGAATTCCATGAAAATTTTCCTCAGAATTCCATTAAACTATTCTCAACATGTCCATGGAAGAATTTCTTGGAATTCTGTCCCTATAATTATTGGAAACTGTCCTTATAATTATGTCCGGAATTCTTCCCTGTTCAGACTTATAGAAAAAAAAACTCTAAATTATCAGAGTTGGGAGGAAATGCTACACTTATATCAACATTAAGCTTTTTAGTGTGTAGCTAGAGAAATTTCTGAAGAGGATAGATTGATAGTCCCGCTTACTCTGGCAGTTAACAGAAATTGAAATAGAGCGAAGGGCTATTAATGCGACAATACTAATCAAAAGCACACTCCTTTACCTAGCTCATACATTGATGGTTGAGGGGATTTGAGGTATTTCCTCAAATCCACATGCAAAAGAGTGCGCGTTTGATTTGCGCATAACTGTCTGCGGCTGTGGAATAGTTCTAGTTCAGAACTTTTTCTAGCTAATTTAACTCTAAAAATCGTAAACTTCACGTACGAAGTAACAACACACTTTGATTTAAAGGGTGATACGGTCAAAATTTGGTCAATATCAACTTGACGTATTTCTTTCAATTTTGCATTTAAAAAACCTGAACACCCCTTATTTTGTAGGTGTGTGTGTGTAGAATGTTGCTCCTATTTTGATTTTGGAATTCACTCTTCAGTTGTCAAAATGCCGTCCAAGCAAGAAGAGCAGCGTATCAAAATTTTGCTCGCGCATCGCGAAAATCCGAGCTACTCGCACGCAAAGTTGGCAAAATCGCTAAAAGTTGCCAAATCAACCGTTACAAATGTAATTAAAGTGTTTGGGGAACGTTTGTCGACAGCCAGGAAGTCTGGATCGGGGGGAAATCGAAAACCGGAAGCCGCTGAGACGACAAAGAGAGTTGCCGGTAGTTTCAAGCGAAACCCTAACCTCTCTCTCCGAGATGCCGCAAATAAGCTGGGTGTATCGTCTACAACCGTGCATCGAGCCAAAAAACGAGTCGGACTATCGACTTACAAGAAGGTAGTGACTCCAAATCGCGATGATAAACAAAATACGACGGCCAAAGCGCGATCCCGGAGGCTGTACACGACGATGCTGACGAAGTTTGACTGCGTGGTAATGGACGACGAAACCTACGTCAAAGCCGACTACAAGCAGCTTCCGGGACAGGAGTTTTATACGGCAAAAGGAAGGGGAAAGGTAGCAGATGTTTTCAAGCACATGAAACTGTCAAAGTTCGCAAAGAAATATCTGGTTTGGCAAGCCATCTGTACCTGTGGCTTGAAAAGCAGCATTTTCATAGCTTCCGGGACTGTCAACCAAGAAATTTACGTGAAAGAGTGTTTGAATAAACGTCTGCTGCCTTTCCTCAAGAAACACGGTTGTTCCGTACTGTTTTGGCCGGATTTGGCATCTTGCCATTACGGTAAAAAGGCCATGGAGTGGTACGCCGCCAACAACGTGCAGGTGGTTCCCAAGGACAAGAACCCTCCCAACACGCCAGAGCTCCGCCCAATTGAGAAATACTGGGCTATTGTCAAGCGGAACCTAAAGAAGACCAAAAAAACTGCTAAGGGCGAGCAGCAGTTCAAGCCAAACTGGCTTTCTGCGGCGAAGAAGGTGGACAAGGTGGCTGTACAAAATCTGATGGCAGGGGTCAAGTGTAAGGCCCGGCAATTCGGATTTGGAAAAGCGGAAGCCTAACTGAATATTTTTCCTGAATTTTATACTAATTGAACTTGAAAAAGAAATTTAATTTGATTTTTTAAATAAACGATTTCACCGATTTACACGCGTTTTCCCTTGACCAAATTTTGACCGTATCACCCTTTAATGTCTAAATTATTTATTTCTTGTGAAATTCTTCTTCGAAGAACCTCTAAAAAATAGCTCTCTTTAAAAAAACAAAGTTATCTCACCTGAGAAACCTCTACCATTTCCAAATAATTTCTCTTGTAAGTCTCTTAAGAACTCAGCCGGAATTATTACATTAATATTACATTAAACGGACGTGTCACCAAGTTAACAGTCCAGATAATTTTTCTGGGACTCAAGTGTAAAGCTTTAAAAACTTCAGATCTTTTCCTCTGAATCAGAAATTACCTACATATACATTGTTCAAGAATTCTGCCTAATACAATGCCTCAAGATATGTTCAAGCCCCAATCTAACCGCTCACTCTACTCTACTCCATTTCCAGAACCAAAACCGATCGACCTGTACGAGTTCCTGGTGGAATCGGAACTGCAGCACTACTACAACTCGCTCAAGTAAGTACCAACCCCCTAACAAGCTCTCGACCCCAAATTCGCCTAACCACCTTTTTAACCAGGAACGATCTCAAAATCACCACCATCGCCCACCTGAAGTATGCCACCGACGAGGACCTACGGCAGGTGTGCGGCCTGTCCCGGCCGGAGATCCGCCGGTTACGAAAGTACTACGAAAAGTACTACCCGCACGGTTATCTGAACAAAATCAAACGACTGCTGCAGACACCGAAAAAGGACGACGGAGGGGTGAGCAGTCCCACGTCCAGTGTGGAACCGCTGAAAACATGTCCCTCGCCGAGCAAGATCCCCAACAACAAGCACATCATCCCGGCCGATGCCATCACGGTGAACAAGCAGCTGGGTACCGGGGAGTTCGGCATCGTCCAGCAGGGCGTCTGGACCAATGGGACCGAGCGGATCCAGGTGGCCATCAAGTGCCTCTGCCGGGAACGGATGCAATCCAATCCGATGGAGTTTCTCAAGGAGGCAGCCATTATGCACTCGATCGAGCATGAAAACATTGTGAGGTTATACGGAGTGGTGCTGGATACGGAATCGTTGATGCTGGTGACTGAGTTGGCTCATCTGCGGTCTTTGCTGGAATGCTTGAAAGACCCCGGATTGAGGGTCAGTTTCCTAACGGTTCCTACTCTGTGCGAGTTTGCCGCCCAAATTTGCAACGGCATGATGTATCTGGAGAACAAACGACTGATTCATAGGGATTTGGCAGCTCGGAACATCCTAGTGTTTAGCAAGAACAAGGTGAAAATCTCAGATTTCGGGCTATCGCGAGCGCTCGGAGTCGGTAAGGACTATTACCAGACGAATTTCAACGTCAATCTCAAGCTTCCAATTGCATGGTGCGCTCCGGAGTGCATAAACTTCCTTCGCTTTACAAATGCCTCGGACGTGTGGGCGTACGGTGTGTGCCTATGGGAGATTTTTTCGTACGGCTTCCAACCTTGGGCAGCCCTGACCGGTCATCAGATCCTCGAAGCAATAGACGAACCAAACTACCAACGACTGGAGAAACCCGAGTGCTGCCCGAAGGAGTACTACTCGCTCATGTTGAAGTGCTGGCAGCATGATGCCCTGAAGCGACCGAAATTCACTGACATCTACCAGCTGCTTCCGGACATGAAACCGGAACAGCTGAAAACGATCGTTTCCTTCAGTGAACCGAAGAAGGATCACCTGCTGTACCGGCAAGGGGAGATCATAACCGTACTAGACAAGAGTAGCAATTCACCCTACTGGAAAGGGGTGCTGAATTCGGGCAAAACCGGTCTGTTCAATCCGGCCAACACGGTTGCCTATCTGGATAGTCTGCCGTCGTCGATCAATCGGGATAACTTCAGCCGGACGTCGGAACGGACCAGCAAACGGAAAATCCGGACGGATATGATATCGCGTCCACAGAACGATCTGAAGCACACGGGACACGTGGGAATCGATGGGGCGTACTTTGGTGACGTGGCGTTTCTGGCCAGTCCGCAGAATGTGAGTATTGTTTGTTTGGTGCAAGGTGATTTTCGGATATGTGTTTTCAAACTAATTTCCTATGTCCGAAGTCATCAGGCATCAGCCTTGTAGTTTACATTTCGACTAAGTCTAACCGTCGCATAATATCCTCCACAGCTCCCCCGTCAGATAGTGACCCCTTACAAACCGTCGGAAGATCTGGAACAAACCCCGCTGCTGCTACCGCCTACACCAACCAGCCCGGATTCGATTCAAACCGCCAGCGGGTACTTCTCCGAAACCTTGCAAACCGGCCATCAGAACTTTGTGAATGCAGGTGAAGGCCACGACCGTTCAACCGTCGACAGTGGCCTTGCCAGTGCGTTCGATTTCCGAAACAGTGGCTTCAAGGACAGCAACCCGTTCATCAACGTGGACCTCAATGGAGACCCTAGCTCGCACAATCACGCTAAGGTTGGTAACTGATTTCCTTATCCAGCACTTTAAATCATTAATATCAATTTGCAGGAAGCAAAATCCTCCGACAATCAGGACCCGCACGAGTACCACGAAATCTCAGACGATGACATCGTCACGGAGAAGGTATTCGACCAGGGTACCTCGCTGCTGGACGAGATGGAATACATGTTCAAGTCGATGGCGACGGCCACCGAGCAGCAACAGCATCATCAACAGCCACCGCCCCTCTCGCCGGACGTGGAAAACACCAACAAGCGGAACGAACTGGCCGAGCTGTCTTCCAAACTGAATCGCAAAAACAGTTCCAGCTCCGGAACGGTCAGCAACAAGAGCGGTCGGTTTCCAAAATTTCCGCTTCTTTCGTTTTGGGCAAATATTGATTGAGCGTCGTTATCTACTTTTCTCTCGCAGGAAGCAAATCGAAAAAGAAAACCAGCACCGTGAAGCCGATCTCCGTCAAGGACGAAAAGCTACTGAATCAAGCCATCGAAATTGCCAATGAAATCAGTGCAAAGTGAGTACCGCTACACATATTATCGTCGCGGAGGCGAACAAAAAATTGATTCAATTTCCGTTTTCCCCCACCCCTCTAATCGAATCGCTTAGATCAATGACCGATCTGGTGTCGGACTCGAGCCAGCAGACGTCCAGCCCGAAGCGTAAGTTTAGCTTCCGCTTTCCGCACATCCACGGTGTGGTCGGCGGTGGTAGCGGTGGAAGCGGAGGCAGCGGCGGCAGTAGCCATCATCACTCGTCCGGATCGGGATCGATTATGGGCATCGGAGGTGGTGGCAGTGGTGGTGGTGGTGGCGGCGGCGGAGGAGGCGGAGGAGGTTCTGCCGGTGGTAGCCGAGGGGGCAGTGGCTCCGACAAGGACCATCTGGCGTCGTCCTCGTCGTCCGGACATCATCACCTGTCCGGTACGCTGTCGTCCAGTGCGTACCGTGAGAAGCGAAACTTTTCCGAGGAGGTCAAGAATGTGCCTGATTTGCACGTGAGTATTTGTTCGATGAATGATAATGGTAGTATTAGGGCGTAGTAAACTTGCTAATGGTGCTGCAATGAAATTGATACTGACGGAGTGTGGATTGGTTTGCAGGGTTTTATCTTGCAGTTATTTAGACTAAGCACTGCGGGGGAAGGTGCGATTATAAGGGATTTATTATAGGCAGTAAAGATAGCCGATTATGGTGAATTTTTTTCGTGTTACCTGCTTTGATGCGATTGCACTTCCTTGAACATACCACCGATGTGTTTCATAAAGTTAGATATAGTTAGGATTCCTAACATTTTTTTTTATTCATTGTTATCTAGTTTGAAGTGGTTGAGACTGCTGCATAGTCAATATCGATGTCATTTCTTGATTTTGTTGCTAAGGAATCCGACAAAGAGACGCTTCTTCCTCTTATTCGCATTTAAAGCTCATTGCTTATCGCATATTAGCTTATTGCGTGCTCTCAACTTAGTGTTCTAGAGGCTAGCCTCAGGCTAAAAATCTCTATAATAAAGAAAAAAAAAAAAAAAAAAAAAAAAAGTGTTCTAGACAGTTGTTGGGGAAATATCAAATAATCAAATCTCACCAACGCCCAAGATCACGCTTGATTTTCGTAGACAAAAATCAACAAGCAAACAACTGCGGTTGATTTTGCAAGCTGTGATATCGCAGCTCGGAATATCAAGCTAACAAAACTCACCAGCTGCAAATCTCACCAAACTGTGGTGAGAATAAGTTTAATGATTTTTGCTTTACACCCGAATGCAACCGAAACTTCCATAACGGCTTGCAGCAGTCCCTTCGCGTCTGCCATCGGTGAAGATTAAAAAGAGATAGCAAACTATGCTTTCTCTTTCTAAGAATACTATGTGCAATGGAATCAAGCATGATATTTTGTTCCAATATCACACGTGATATTGCGAGCGCATGAGAGCGGAAAAATATCAATTGATTTCTTTTTTTTTAACTCTATGTGTTCCAAATTCAAAATAAATTACATTTCATTTTTAACCTAGGTGCTCCAGTTACTACAGTAACTTACCAGCCTTAATTGTTATGATATATAGCTAAGTGTTTTTACATTGTTCCTGTCTTGGCAATTCAGTATTTTAAACAGGTTTTTTAAACCTGCATGTCAGTATAACAATTGATATCTTAAAACTAAAAACTAAAACTAAATCTTATCTAAGTATAAAGGGAATTAATCGTTGCAATTGAGGATTATTTTGTTGGACATTTGTTCTAAAGTCTCAACATTCGAAATTCTATGTAATTCGATAGTACTGTACTAGGGAGGCAACTTCAAAATCATTTTCAGAACTTTGTTCTGAATCATTTGAAGTGCTTTTTTCCTGGTAGTGCAACAACAAGACCATATTGGCACAGCGTAAAGCATGGCCGGTCTAAAAACTTGTTTAAATATTAGAAGTTTATTCGTCAGGCAAAGTTTGGATTTCCTGTTTATAAGAGGATACAAACATTTTATATATTTGTTACATTTGGCTTGAATGCCCTCAATGTGTTCTTTAAAAGTTATTTTTTGGTCAAGTATTAATCCAAGATATTTCACTTGGTTTGACCAGGAAATTGGAACTCCGTTCATAGTGACTATGTGACTACTACTAAGTTTCAAAAAGGAAGCTCTAGGCTTATGTGGAAATATTATAAGTTGAGTTTTGGAAGCGTTGGGAGAAATCTTCCATTTTTGTAAATAAGAAGAGAAAATATCTAAACTTTTCTGCAGTCTGCTGCAAATAACACGAAGACTTCTTCCTTTAGCGGAAATGCCTGTGTCATCAGCGAACAAAGATTTGTGGCAACCCTGAGGCAAATCAGGCAGGTTCGAAGTGAAAATGTTATACAATATAGGCCCAAGAATGCTACCCTGAGGAACTCCTGCTCTAACAGGTAGTCGATTAGATTTGGAATTTTGATAATTTACCTGCAGAGTTCTGTCAGTTAAATAATTTTGAACTAATTTCATAATGTAAAGTGGAAAATTAAACTTTTTCAATTTAGCAATCAAACCTTCATGCCAAACACTGTCGAATGCTTTTTCTATGTCTAGAAGAGCAACTCCAGTTGAGCAGCCTTCAGATTAGTTGGAACGAACTAAATTGGTAACTCTTAAGAGTTGATGAGTAGTTGAATGCCCATGGCGAAATCCAAACTGCTCATCTGCAAAAATTGAGTTCGTATTGATGTGAAGCATCATTCTATTTAAAATTATCTTTTCAAAAAATTTACTTATTGAAGAAAGCAAACTCATTGAACGGTAGCTAGAAGCTTCAGCTGGATTTTTATCTGGCTTCAAAATTGGAACAACTTCTGCATTTTTCCATTTATCAGGAAAGTATGCCAAATGGAAACATCTGGCAAGACAAGGTACTCTCTGGGAGTTTTTTGATGAGGATATAGAAAATTCCATCATCACCTGGAGCTTTCATATTTTGAAACTTTTTAGTTATAGACTGATTCTCAATAGGACTAGTAAGACCCAAACTGAAATTATGGGAACTCTCGAATTGCTTAGCAAGTTTCTGAGCTTTTTCCAAATTTGTGATCAAAATTTTACCACCTTCTTTAAGCGCTGGAATTGGCTTTTGAGGTTTTTTCAAAATTTTTGTGAGTTTCCAAAAGGGTTTGGAACTCGGAACTAACTTAGAAATGTTATTTTCAAAAGTTTTGTTCCTCGCTTTTTAATTTTTTTTTGCAAATCCCACCAGATAACCTTCATGACAGGATCGCGTGTTCTTTGATATTGTCTCCTACGGACATTTTTAAGACGGATCAAGAGCTGAAGATCGTCGTCTATTATAATTGAATCGAATTTAACCTCGCATTTTGGTACTGAGGCAGCTCTTGCTTCAACTATAGAAGTAGTCAGAGCTTCAAGAGTATACTTAATTTCATCTTTGGTTTGCAAAGGAATGTTTGGATCGAAGTTATATTCCATAAATGTTCGATATTGCTCCCAATCAGCCCTATGGTAATTGAAAGTAAAGCTGTTGGGATTACAAATTATTTCTTGGGATATTTCAAAAGTTACTGGAAGGTGATCAGAACCGAAGTCAGCATGGGTAACCAGTTGGTTACAAAGTTGACATGAATCAGTTAAGACCAAATCAATAGTGGAGGGATTTCTTGCAGAAGAAAAGCATGTTTGGCTGTTTGGATATTGAATAGTGTAATAACCTGCAGAACAATCATCAAACAGAATATTACCATTGGAATTGCTTTGAGCATTATTCCATGAGCGGTGTTTTGCATTAAAATCACCAATAATAAAGAATTTAGACCTATGACGGGTAAGTTTCTGAAGGTCACCCTTGAGAAAATTCTTTTGCTGGCCTACGCATTGGAATGGCAAATGGGCAGCTATAAACGTAAGTTGTCCAAATTTTGTTTCCACAGAAACACCCAAAGTTTCAAAAACTTTGGTTTCAAATGAAGAAAGAATTTTATGTTTGATTCGTCTATGAACAATGATGGCAACTCCACCACAGGGTCCATCAAGACGGTCATTTCTATATATTAAATAATTTGAGTCCTTCTTAACCTTATGGTCAGGTTTAAGGAACGTTTCAGTTATAACGGCAATATGCACGTTATGAACTCTCAAAAAGTTAAATAGCTCGGCTTCATTATCTTTAAGAGATCGAGCATTCCAATTTAAAATATTTAATGCTTTAAAATCCATTACTGAATTTCAAAGGCATGACAATATTATTAGCAAATTTTACTCCAGTTTGAATAGCATCAAACATGGAGTTAGATTTAAGCATATCAGACATCATGTCAATTAATGAATTCTGTAAAAATTCCATTTTAGAGGCATTAATGCTTCCTAAGTCAAAATTGTCAAAATATCCGTTCGAACGTTGGTTAGTATTTTGATTTCTACCCGTTGCAATAGCAGCATAGGTAGCTCCATTAACTCGCTGAACATTGTTAGCAGCGAGGGGAGTAGGTGCAGATGAAAAATTTGAAGCAGGGGTGATATTTGTACCTACGGGTACGAATGTAGAATTTGTTCCTCGCTGACCGTTGTTAACAGCAGAGGAATTTGTACCTGGTCGGAAACGCGGAGCGTTTCCTACCTGACGGTTAGAACGAGATTGTAGGATCGCTTTGCGAGTCTTACATTCCCAAAAATTGGATTTGTGGTTTTCACCACAATTTGAACATTTAAATCTCTTAGGATTTTCCTTCGCCTTTGCGTGAGAGGAATCACCACTATTCATGCATTTAGCTGGCATGTAGCAATTTTTAGTTCCGTGACCCCATCCCTGGCACTTACGGCACTGGGTGAGGTTTTGGAAATTTCCTCCAGTCTTCCTGAAGTGTTCCCACTTCACTCGGACATGGAGCATAAGGCTAGCTTTTTCTAAGGCCTTAAGGTTGTTTAGTTCACTAGACTTGAAGTGAACTAAATAAAAATCATTAGATATCCCGTTGCGCGAATCGCCAGGACGGGATTTCATTTTCATTTTGATTACTTGGAGTGGCACAACTCCAAGTAATTTTGCCAGTTCATCTTTGATCTGATCCAGGGATTCACCACTGGGCAGTCCTTTCATAACAACCTTGAAGACACGTTCAGTTTTGGTGTCGTAAGTAAAAAAATTGTGCTTCTTCTCAGTAAGATACTTGAGAAGACATTTAAATCCGTCCAAGGTTTCAGCCAATACACGGCATTCACCCCGACGTCCAATTTGTAGTGAAAACTTAACTTTCACGAAATTCAAAAGTTCCATGCGAAGAGCATGGAAATCGGAAGTGGTTATCACAATAGGGGGAATCTTTTCCTTCTTGGCATTAAGCCGGGAAAGTTTACTAGAATTTTTCTTGGATGATGGAGCATTCTCATCATCCGTGAGCAAATCAAATTGATTACTCAAATTAATTTCATCAGAAGGGGGGTCAAGAGTTTGCCCTTTCTTTTTTTGCGTTTAGGCGCCATGGCGGCAGTAAATTTTTATCCAAATCGACTTCCAAGC